TATTTTGCCTTCGCCACTTCAAGAAACGACAACGTAATTGATAGTTTTGACATTAACATAAGTGCCATAACTATTCAGATTCGTCCGAACAACATGTTCTTCTACAAGCTGCTACTGCTTTTGCTGGTATTTGTGTACGGTGCAAACTCTCTTGATTTCGTCGATGTAAGTAGTTTAAAGTATTCATTGTGATTGCTGCCAAAAGTTGCCTCTACAGTGCTACCGGGGATGCATGAAACAATCTTTGAAAGTGCCGTTCAATAATGCTGGTTCGGGAGTATCACGTTATTACTCTCTCTATCTGGAAGCTTACACCAGTGAAAATATTAGCAATTGTGCCAAACAATGCCAGGAGCACTTGCACCTTGTGAAACCAGAGGAGAATGAGAGTGAGTCGAAACCGGAAGCATCTGAAGAGGAGCCAAGCGAAGGAGGGTCAGGAAGCTCTAGCTCCAGCTCTAGCTCCAGCTCCAGCTCCAGCTCCAGTTCCAGTTCCAGCTCCAGCTCCAGTAGCTCCAGTAATGAAGAGTGATTTCCATTTGTATCAATGGGAATAAACTCTTGTTGTTGATAGTGTGCTTCGCCTGTTTACCTCTGTGCGACAGTTTTTTCAATTCAGCTTTCATTTAGTTTGCAGCGCAAATGCTGTTGTAGTACAGACTACCTGTTGTAATTAACGTGGCAGATTATTAGTAGAAAAGCTACGTCATATATGCTTGAACATTTCTTCAAAAAGCTGGAAAACGCGGGACACTCAATTCATTGACAAAAACCATGGCTTCTAAGCAATTAGCACTTTGCGAAAACTAAACTATCTTGCAAGTGATCTGATCGAATCTTGAGATTTACAAGAGACTCAGAGCCCGGGTTGGAGAGATCGGGCCTGAAACTCTTGTGAATTTCATAATTAACAAATATATCAGATCAGACAAATTTTTTGCAATATAACAATTAGCGAGTCTTACTCGTTAATTAGTGAATAACGTTGAACAAATTGTTCGATTTGTCAACGTTTTCTGCCACCTAATACAAAGGGATGCGCTACTGCAAACTTTAAGAGTCAAGCGATATTGGGTAGGTGATCAGGCGTTGCAGTCTTACACGATCCTACCTGATCGGGCCCTACACGGTCAAAAGCCCACTTTCGAGCATTATGAGTCAGAGCGCTTGCGTCTGACTGAATTACGAGTGTATGGGAACATTTAACATATTGATAATAGCGTTCCTGATTGCGTGAGATGATCCATATCTATACATCACATTCACGAGAAAACATAGATTGTGAAAACCTTAAAAATCGTTTATTAAACAAGTCCAAAAATAGCCTCCTCACACTGTGGCGGACCACAATAAAGTGCAGTTTATAATTATACAAGCTTCCATATTTGAAGTTGTGAGCTTTTTGAGGAAAAAAACTCAAGAAACCGGTACTACGTGAAAGAAAGCCGGAAAGGGTATGCGCCGCATAAGAATGAAAATTGATGTCAATCTTACAAGAGAATTGTTTAGTGGAAGTAGCTTTTTCAGAAGGGATGTATACCGTAATGGAGAGCATGAAACGCTGATTGATGATATGCCTACCTTATTTGCGGAACGCCTATGAGGGAGGAGATATGAGCATTTATTAAAGAAAAATTAAGTGCGCATCTAGGATAAAATACGTTTCTCAAATTTCCTTAAAGGCAGCGTCCAGGCAAAATTTCGCCTCTCATGTTTCTTCCATTCTGGGGCATTTCCGTGGCCCTGATTACATTGTAAATTCCAAATTGTTCAAAACCCCCAAAAAACCCGGTTCTTGGGGACACTCCCTTCAAGTAGCGGACGAGTTTCGAATTGCTCGTCCCCATCGTCATGCCAGCGGAAGGAGCTGCAACTGAACGGATACAGTTGCATTGCAGTGTGCAGTGCAACTGCAATGCAACTGCAATGCAACCGCACACCTGCGTAAGCACTCGTCCTCAAAGGTGGTTTGTGACACGAAGAGGCGGCTTATGATACGTATCACAGGCCCGTATCTTCTTTTAGAGGGCACGTCAAAGCATTGGACCAAGGCAGATCGGATACTCATGGGCTCCTCTTTACAACTACATGCTAATCTGGGTGGATGGATCTTGCCTGGACGCTGCCTCCAACCCTCTAATAAAGCAACCAAGTGCGAGTTTTTTTATCCAAATATTCATTGAATAAGGTGCTCTGATAATCATCACAGCTCCATTGAAGCATTAGAAAGAATATTACGAAAATTTTCGTACTATTTGCGCATGTGATTTTATATTCTAATAGAAGCTCATAACTTCTCCTTCATGAACGTTTCGCAGATAGAGAAGGCAGGTTTGGAATCAGCGTTTTGTGCTTACCAAAATGGTATCATCCCATTTTGAAGGGCCATTTCGACTATACAGCATGGTTCCCTTAATAGGGATGTTTTTCCATCGGATACGATTTTTGGCTGTTCACAATTTACGAGCACCTTAAAAGAGGCCCCCTTTTTCATTCAACCGGAATCTTTCGAGTCATAATTTTTCGTAAAGCTACGGTAACATATCTGCTACACAATCATTCCAGCGCAGTTAAAATAAGCTGTCGCGGCTCGCAATGCAAGCCACTCCTCGAAACAGGAAGCCGGGAGCGCTGACTATCGCGTTACTTGGCGCGCTGCCCATTTCGCGTTAAGATCTTTCCTGCTGGGCGCGTTGCCAAGTCACAGGGTATATAAGGGCGCGCAGGCCGCGGTCTACGCTTCTTCGAGTTTCGTTCGTATTGATCATTTTATGATATTGTTCGTGCTGGCAGCGCCTCCAACAGCTCCCGCAGATGATTATCGGTTTCGAACGGTGGAGCCTTTGTCATCTTCTTGGTCTTGGAGACGCGCAGCTGAAAGTCATGGCTCGTCTTACGTAGGAAGCGTACTAGCGGGAGCGGAGAGGGGTCACACCGTCCCGGAAGGGCTAGGGGCTTGCGGTTGACCCAGTGGAGAACCCGGAACTACTTGTTGGAGTCGATCACCATCAGCATCGGCAGCACGGACGAGGCGGCTCGTCCCGTGCCTAGTTTTTCCACCTACAGTTTTAGTAGTTTCAATAGTTTCAGTAGTTTTCGTAGTGTTAGTAGTTTATTGTTGTGTTTTGCAGATAATTATATTAATCTAGTCGGTCCTTTCTCTCTCAGCGTTACGCGCTATCTGTTGTGCCGTTCATACTTGTAGGGGAGTCCTCGACAGCGCGTCAAGGCGTCATGAACCTTGGCGGACGCGCGACATCGTAGGGGACAGCGGGAGTTAGGTGTAGATGCGGCGAGCACTTGCGGAAGGTGCTGGCCCCACCGAGCCGCCACATGGTGCATCGACGCCGAGCGCATGGTGGATGGATAGCCGCGCGCCTTGGTTACGGCTAGGTAGGTAACATCGGCTGGCTAGGTCTAAGTTTTAGGTAGGTTCTTTTGCGCTAAGTTATCCCATCCTCCATGCGTGCGTAACGAACCCTGTGTCTACCACACTCGGCACGCACCTAGTAGGAAGACTCAGGCAAGCAGGGAGAAGCGCTTATCGTCTTCGTAGTCAGTAGTGGTCTACAGAGGCTAGCCAGGCTAACATCGCGGGCAGCGCGTGAGGTAGTGGTAAGGTGGCAGCTTGCCAACTAACACCCGAGCACAGCGCGTTGACCCACGCGATTCCTAGTCAGCCACCGCGCCAGAGAGGCTGTAGGAGTGACGGGACGGAGCCGTCATTGGCGGGCTCGACCAAGGATCAGCAGCTCAATAGTGTCGAGTTTCAACAAAGGATAAGACAGGTAAGTGGAAGGGTTTAGGTTTAGGTAGGTTCAAGGATGCACTTTTGGACGCTCATCTCGGCAAGGTACAACGGCGCCGTCCTTAACAGGAGAGTGAACCGGGGATGGACTAGGTATTCGGTCTTGCAAAGGGGGTTCAGGATAGGTTAGCGGGTTTTGGCTAAGGTATAGGTCAATAGGTAAGGGGGTCTAGGTCAGGGATAAGTTTTAAGTCAGAGGTAGGGTTTTCACTTGGCGGCGCGTAGGTTTGGTAGGGTTACTGGGCCGGTTTAGGTAGGTGAGGGGGTTCAGGATGGCTCGGGGGGGGGGGGGGATCGGTTAGGTTAACAGGGTTAGGTCTAGTTTTTAGGTGGGTTAGGTAAGGGTATATTTTAGTGGGGGTCAGGCTAGGATAGGCAGGTAAGGCATTTAGAATAGGCAGCGCGGATAGGTAGGTAACTTGGTACGGCTTCGGTCTAGGATAGGTGCGGTCAGATCGCTCTAGGTAGGTAACTGCGTTAAGATTACGGTCGCGCTAGGTTTAGGTAGGCAATTAGCGGTTCACTCGCCTAGGTTCAGCGAATCCCTCCAGGTCGCCAAGCTGGAGCCTCCTACAGTGTCTACTCTGGCCTCCAGTCGGTTACTTGCTTTGCTTTCTGTTACATGCGTTTTACTTAGGTGCCGCGCTAGGCTCTTGTACGGACGCATTGTCGTAACTGTTTGGCTTGCGCCCATCATTCTCCCTACTGCCGTTGGACACCCTATTCTTTTTGCTTTGGCGCATGGTTTAGGTTGGGCCGGTTTCCTATATGTACTCACTTCATATTTATCTTGGGGGGGGGGGGGGTTGTAGTTGTTTTTGCTTTTTGCTCGCTTACCTTGTTGTATTTTTGGTATTCCGTTTCTGCTTTTTTATGTTCCAGGTAATGTCGCAACTTGGTTCGCCAAAAGCCCAAATTACAAAGGCCCCTAACTCACTACGCAAGAAGATCGCAAGATCGGAAGTCGATCAGGCCAACCTCGATCTTGTGGACTTTGCTTCGGAGGCGAGTAAGATACACATTTGGTTTTCAATCCTTTGAACTCTTCTTCTATTTCGTTTTCTTCTGTTAGTCGTGCTGCCTCTGCCCTACGTGTTCAGTTGGAAAAAGCCGAAGAGGCTCGGCAGAATCCTGACGAGCGTGGAAAGTTCCCTTTCCTCTCTGACATCCATACTCATGGGGAACCGGTGGGATGGATGGTTTCCTGGTGGAAGCGGATGCTCCTCTTGTTCGCTTGGATTCCGCGATCAGACTTCTTCCTATTTTGGGAGGCCCTCAATCCTCTGTTCCATCTGTTGCTCCATCCTTGGCGCGCAATTCCCCTCCTCATACTACCCAAGATTATGCGCCATCCCCTCAACACGCGCATCAGGCGGAAGTGGAAGTGCGCAGCCATTCTATGCCGCATCATAGTCGTCCATATGACCCAACAGCGCCTGTTGACCAGCGTCCCCTTGTGAGCCACACTGGCGCGCATCCTCCGGGCGGATTTGGCTTTCTTTCGGGTAATCCTCCCTCGAATCCCACCCACTTTTCGCAATCCCCATCTGGACTTTCAAATTTTTCGCTAAATCCTTTTTCGCATGACCTTCAAGCCTCATCCTCCTCGCCCCTTAATCCCTTTTTGCTCTTGGAGCAACCTGTGAAGTTGCCTTCTTATGAGATCCCAACCTTTAGTGGCGATATCGAGGCATTCTCCGAATTTTGGGACATCTTTTCTACAACCGGGCACCTTGACAACACCGTGCCTGCAGCAGTCAAGTTCATGTACTTGAAGTCGGTCCTTAGAGGAGATGCTGCACGTATTATCGCAGGCTTCAAACCAACGGCGAAGAATTACGACACTGCAGTACGCACCATTCTGAGTACGTACGATCGTCCTGAGATTCTGAGAAGTCGATTGTGGGTAAATTGTCGCAGCAGTCACCGGCATCAGATTTCGCAATTTCGCAACTCGCTACACTTTGCGCGCTTCAGGCAACTTGGTACCAGATGAAGGAGTTGAACGACGATTCCAGCTCGATCGCTTCGTTGAGGACAATTCGATCTAAGTTTCCCTGGCGTACACGTGAGAAAGTTGGCGAACTTAAAGGCAAAAGTGACTCTATGTGGACAGTGGACGAGCTGTTGTCAGCTCTCAGCACGGTCACTGATAGACTGCAAGTGGTAGAGGATTCCGATCCAGCACATCATCGGGCTTATAATTTGGATTCCACAGTTCGTCAGCATTCTCCTTCCTCGTATAGATATCCCGGCACGAGTCATGAGGTATCCACCGTATCAGCAACAACCAGCTTACCCAAGCCGTACATGAGGTATCCACCGTATCAGCAACAACCAGCTTACCCACGTTACGTGCGTAGCTCGCGCTCAACCCGCGGCGCACATCACGTAGCCCTGTCAGGCCCCAGTATACCACACTATGGGAGCCTCATTGTGCCTTCTGTTTCCGTCATGAACATCCTTCTGAGTGTTGCATGACAGTACCCGACGTGCAACAGAGGAGAGAGCTTGTCAACCAGTACAGACTGTGTTGGCTGTGTCTTGAAGAAGGCCACACGTTCAGCATCTGCAGAGCCCCTACGTGCAGATACTGTGGCAGATTACACCATCCAGCCTTGTGTGCTACATTACCATCAGCGCCCTATTCGTCGTACCCACCTGCACAATTCCATCAGCGCTCTCCTTCACCTAGACGCGTACAGTTTGAGACGACAGCGCATTCTTCACCATCTCGTACCCAGTACGCGAGTCCGCGCACTTCTCCTTCGCGTCGACCTACTCTCATACCGCCATCTCCATCTAGGCGTCAGTCACGTTCCAACTCTAGACGCGCTACTCTTCCTCGAGAATCTTTGAGCGCGTTTCCCGCTGTGCAAACTTCCACCTGCACTCCAGGAGATCGGAGATCACTACTGGATAACTAAGACCAACGACTCTACTTAACGACGATGCGCCAGGGACGGAACAGCTTTTACGGAGTCTCCTTGGCCTAGACACACTTGGTTTAGACGATTCAGATGTATCACCAGACGCCAACGTCATCAGGCAGTTTTACGATGGTGTTAGGATAATCGACGGTTCCATCTACGTCGCATTCCCGTGGAAATCCCAGCATCCTCCATTAGCAGATAACAAAGCTCTCGCCTTTCGTCGTTTAGAGAGCCAATATGAGAAGCTCCATGCAGCACCATCAGCATGGAGCGAGTACTGCCATACCTTCGATCGTCAGCTACGATCAGGCGTAATCGAGGATGATACGAATTTGCCCCCTACGAGCCCTAACACGTATTACATCCCACATCAGGAAGTCTATAAGGAGGATAGCCAGACCACCAAGCTACGTATAGTCTTTGATGCCTCGAGCCATCAGAAAGGACATCCCAGTCTGAACGATTGCCTGCATCTAGGACCCTCCTTAATACCCGATCTTGTAGGAACCTTGTTGCGTAGCCGTTTACATTGTTATCTGATAATCGCCGACGTAGAGAGAGCCTTCCACCAGATCCACTTACATCAGGATCAGAGGGATTGCACCAGATTTCTCTGGTTGAGAGATGTAGCAAGTATGGATCGACATCATGACTCGACACGGTCCACTTCCGACGAAAACCGACTTAACAGTGGTATCTATGCTGCTGAACACCAAGTCACCTCGTCTACTTTACCGACATCAACCAGACCAAGTCGCCATCGTCGTCCACCAGAACGTCTACGAGTAGATCCTCATTATGAGATGTACCGTTGTTCATCTTAGGAAGAAGGTGTTGTAGAGCCGTCTCTTATATTGGAACTTGCTCGCTCACTACAGGCTAGGTCGATATGGTCTCTGTGGTTGCGGCGTACCCGCCGTGCCTTGATATATTTGCGTGTTGTTATGGAACTATTCCTAGTGAACCCTCGGCATGTACGCCAATAGGCAGAGGGGGAACTCTTGTGTTTTTTTTAATAAATCGTTAACGGCTCAACGCTTTCCACATCAATCACCATACAGGTCTCTATAAAAATGCCACCTTTACCAGAAAAAGCTTAGTATAGCTGTCTCGGAGACTTTAAACATCAATATAGTCAACGTTGTGCAGTTCAACGGCTAATATCGAGGCATATGATGTTTCTGTTAATTTCGTGCTCAGTTTAGACTAACAACTTTCATTGTTCGTCTTTATGGAACTCCTCGAACGTATTTGATGAAAATGAAAATGAAATCTTGACTGTATTCTTCAAAGAACTCAGTGAAATCCGCGACGCAGTTTAACGAGTTCAGTGTTTTGTGGAAACCGCTAGTTGTTCTGCCAAGCCTTTCCGCTGGTTTGGTTATTCCAGTAGAGCTGTTGATGTCAACAGGCTGCGCCCATAAATGCCTAATTGAAGCAAGTCCTAACGCTTTTACGATATTTAGAAATTCCTTTTCTGGCTGTAGAATACACGACAATGAATTTTACAATCAGAGAAGGAAACTGCCACTGCAAAAGGAAGATTTTCACATTGTCTTTTTTCATTTCAAAATACGAACCATAGAATGAATAAAGCCCCATGAAAACTAAAGTTTGCATGAAAACTAGAGCAAAGAACTTCAAACGATATAAGCATTAATCAAAGAAAATGGTTCTTTCTCCATAATCAGCATTAGAATATAGGTCTAAAAACGAATCAAACTTTTATGAAAAGCCAACAGATTTAAAATTTTGCTTCTTTTTCAGGCGCTACTCGAAACTACCCTTCTGTACCTGCCTGAAGCATTTCCTGCATTTTTTGTAATGCTGTCGATAAGTGGTACTTCCACGGTTTCAAAATTTTGCATATTTCCTTAGATAAAGCTGGGACACACGCTTTGTTCGGTGTTATATGACATAAGGCTCCCGCCAGAGTGCCGAAGCCATGCCAGTGCTACGCCAGCGCCGAGCCAGCGTTTCGATCGATACACGTGTGTTTCGTTGGGGCGGGGTTAGCTGACTCAATTCTCAGCAGATAGATGCCCCGAACGAAATACACATGTATCGATCGAAACGCTGGCTCGGCGCTGGCGTAGCGCTGGCATGGCTGCGGCACTCTGGCGGGAGCCTAACGTGATTCAACATATTATTTCTTCTCACTTCTACACAACATTTAACCGTCCTCCCACACTTCTATATGCTATCTCGCTGCCTCCCACGTTTTCGTAAAAAGCATGCTCTCTATCCTCCACTTCCCCTCCCCTCTGCCAAGTACAATAGTTCAAAACCAGCAGGTTCTAAAACCCATTATAGAAGTTTTTGAAACGTGGAATTTGAATTACCTAATTGCAATAATTACATTCTCAACATTTCTGTTGTGATCTCGCAGTTATAGAGAGTACTCGCTGATGTATCTGAATCTAAGTTAAAGCCAGCCTTACGATGTTTACTTAAGATACGCGACTGGCTTACCGTATCCGCAACCATTTTGCACCGTGCGCGTGCGCCGGTGCAAAATGGTTGCGGCGACCGCGCAAAGGCAGCGTCGTCCGACTTCGTCGCGGCGACGTCGCATCGCGATGTCGCGACATTTGAAAAAGTAACGCAAAAACACTAAGAAAAAATTGTTCTTTCAAACTTCAACTTGCGGCATCGTTCGTCGCACCACTACAAGGTGTGAAATTGAAAAAAAACTCTTTCATTTTCTTTTTTTGTTTAGTTCAATAACTCTTCTACTCTCAAATAAAAACAATGGACTGTTGAAAAGGAAATCACTTATCAAACCAAAGTTTGACGCGACGCTTGGTCACGTCACATAAATGAATAAAGTTTCAAAAGTCAAAATAATCGTTTTATGTATATTTCGGCATCATGTGATCTTCTTACCGCCGTAGGCACTTTTCCTAGTAGATTAAGGAAGGTCTCAGGTCGGCATTACCGAGGGGTTACTAATCTCAACTTGGTGTCTAGGCAACCACAGGTCACAGCCTGCAGTGACAAAGTATTGACTAAGTCATGGTAGAAACAAAAGTGAAAAAAAAATAGAAAAGAAGGAGGTTGAAGAAATTGAAGGAGTTCAAAGTCAAACGAGTCTTTTGTTTTTATTTGATAAAAGGAAATCCAAATGAAAAGAAGAAAATGAAGGACTTTTCCCCCAATTTTACACCTTATCGGTGCGACGGACGATGCCGCACGTTAATATCCGAAAGAGCAATCTTTTCTGAGTGCTCAGACAAATCACCGGAACTTCCGCAGGACAAGCCAAATTTGCAGAAGTTCCGCAGGACTTTGTTTACTATTGCAAAAATGAAAACCTTGAAAATCGGAACTTTCGCGGAATTTTCGTGCCAAACTGGTTGAAAACCGGAACTTCCGCAGAACATTCTTCAAAATCCTGCAAAAATTCCGAAAAATGCCAGAGATTCCGCAGAACTTTGGACTGCCAGGACTTCCGCAGGACTTTGAATGTGTTCTCTCGTGATGTTGCCTTGCCAACAACTAGAGTGCTTTATCGAATATGACAGCCGTAGCGTAGAGGGTAGTAGGTGGGTCTCACAGTCAGTAGAGTGAGGTTCAAATCTCGCTCCGGTGTTCTCTTTTGCTGTTGGGTTGGTATTCTTCGGAGCTTCCGCAGGACTTCACTTCGGAACTTCCGCGGGCGACCCGGCGGAACCTCCGCAAGCGCTCTGCGGAAGTTCCGGTCATTTGTCTGAGTGTTTTCATTTGAAACTTTTGAAAGTCGCGACATCGTGGTGCGACGTAGCGACTCTTGAAAATTGGATAGTTGAAAATTGACTTCAAAAATTCGCGGCGAACCTGGACGAGGCAACGTGCGCGCAGTTGTCTCGTGGCTCACGCGTGTAAATGGACGTATATATCTGTATATATCCGATGGCACAACGATCGCTTGACGCGCAACGATGCCAACCAGAGGAGGAGTCTGGCGAATCAGTGAAGAACTTACGACCAGCGAGCCATCACGTCTTTGGGCTCCAATCTCTTTTTCTTGTTGTGTTTCTGTTATTTTGTGTTGCCGGCTTGATATATTTGCGAGTTGTTTATGTTTGTTGAGATAAACAACATCAAATGAGACTGTGTTAGGTGCACCTTGAGGCGTTCGCGTTAATATGGTATCGGTCATGTAAGAGGGTGACACGATATCCATAAGTGGTAGCAGCGAGTGCGGCCTCGTAGTAGCCCACGACCCGAACCGATCTTACCTCTTGTGGGAATTGAATTCCTCATGAAAGTAGCTCATAAGATGAACGGTTTAGCCTCGCCCGGGGTGAGTTTGATTGGAAAATTGTGCAGGGTAGAGTCCGGGGGATGGCCACCTACTAGATTCAAATTCTCTCTCAACCTTCTCTTCAAATTACTTGTCTTTTTGATGTCATTTGTTGGAAATTTTTGTCGCTGCATGATATGACGCAAGAAATTAATGGTTTTGTGTTCTTCACTCAAGCCTCGTCGCCCATTGGGGACCTGGGAGCCAGACAAGTTGAAATAATTGGTCCTTGTTGGCCATTATTCACCGAAAATGTGTGATTT